AGTATCTACCTAATCTAAATATGTTAAAGGGAAATTTTTAGTCCTCCTATAAGATATACAAATATTTTCAAATTTACCTTCATATGAAAGTATTTTCAATTATACCTAATGAAACTAATTTGTTTATGAGATTGCATCAATAACAATTACCATATATATTCAACTTCCATTCCCCCTTTTTGTGGACTTGATTAAGATAGAGAAAAAAAAAATAATAACTGATTCATTTATTAATTCCCTAATTCACGCAACTTGTACATTGTAATTCAAAGCAGCGTCAGGTAGTATATTTTGAGTTTATGTTAGTATATATTCAGTGTATGTTGCAAAAATTATATAATTCACGCATTCGCCAGGTGGTATATTTTGAGTTTATGTTAGTACATATTCAGTATATGTGCAACATATACTGAGAAAAGTTACTTCGGATATATTCGGATATACCCAACATATAACCCAAGAAAAAAAAGAATTATTAAACAGATAACCAGAGAAAATTTACTTCGGATATACTCGGATATACCTAACATATACCCAACTCAGTTTGTAAATATACCTTCGAATTATATACATTTTCAACATATACCCAACTCGTTTTTTTTATTAATGATATATGTGCTGTGTTCAACAAAAAATCTTCTAATATACCAAACATAAACTATGAATAAATATTGAAAACATAAAAAAATTATCCATTCACAAGCTAATTTGTACAAACAATATACCAAACATAAACTAAATGTTCAATAACTGTACACATCCCTAAGATGTACATATACTACACATATACTGCATATACACGCTACATATAAAGAAAACGTACAAAGAACAATTTGTTAGGGCTTTATATAATATATAAGTTCCAACAGAAAATGTAAACGTCACAACCCCTAAATCTCCCCGTCGGCGAACCTTTTCCTCTTCACCTTCCCCAGCTCCACTCCCAAATCCCACATGGTTTTCATAAACAAATTAGAAAAAATAAATTTCGGTTATCAATAAAACATATACCAATCAATAAGAATCAACTAAAAGTCCAACACATAATTACAATACTTAAAAAATCCTGAGGAACAAAAGAATTTAAAAAGGAACAAAAGAAAAAATAAT